AGAGTCTGGCTCCAGGTTGCCCCATCCTCACCCTGACAGAGCCCTTCCCCTGGGGCTTGTCCAGGGAAGCACGTGGAAAAAAAACCCAACTGATTTAATTCAGCTCAGTGTCTGAAATGTGGAAGTAATGACCGCTGAAGGGTCCAGGGGTAAGGACAGAGGATAGGACTGGTAAGTCTTTCGACAGTGTTTAAAACACGCTTCCACATGTGGGCTGCCAAATCCCAAAAGTAGGCAACTGAGCTGGGAATTGCCCAATGCTGCTGCTCTTTGTTCCCTTGCAGCCACACCAAAATCACCATCTCGCCCTGATGTCCGTGGCTGGAGGACCGCCTGCGCCCGGGTTTCCACTCTGCAGGGACGGGACGGTGGGTGCAGGGGGGCACAGACCAGCGAGCGCAGTAGTCGCCCGCTGAGGGGCTGCCCAGCACCTCCCCCTTGCGGGACCCAAGGGCTCCAGCCCCAAATTTACCTCTCTTCCCCCTCCCCTGCCCCACAGCTGGGCACTGCTCAGGCGGAGCGGTGGGGGAGAGCGGGATCCAGAGGAATTGAAGTTCGCGGTGTTTATTTTGTACTTAAAACAAAGTGGAATGGGGAAATCAAAATGCAAAGCTTCTCAACCCCTGTCGAGCTTTCCTGCCTGCATTTGGAGAGCCGATACGAGGGACTGACACTGCGGATCAGCAGATTCTTCCCCTTCCATTCGTGGATTGCTGGGAGCCCAGTGAAACCCTCTGGCTTTACCCACCACACTCCCCACTTCACCCCTCTCCTTCTATAAGGCCAAACAGTGCCCCCGACCCCCATCTCCAAGAATACATATTTACTGCATGGAGCAGAGAACCACGACGGGGTTTGGACCCTATCCATGAGCTTTCGGCTAGACCCTTCCCGATCCACGTTATCCTTCATCTCCCCAGTGCATAATCAAACTCGCCAAACAGGGCGTTCTCCAGTCCCAGCCCAGAGCTCGGAGCCTCCCGAGAGGAATATGCTAAAAAAAGAAAGAAAAACATTACTTTGCCAACTGAAGCGAGTGCTGAAAGGAAGGAGATGCCAGGAGCACTTAAACAAGAATTCGAGACCGGGGGACGCTCGGGCGTGTGTTTTCAATCCGCAGACGGGAGACGTGTTCATTGGGAAATGACTGCCACTCACTGTTAGCTTTAGATCTCGTAGCTGATGTCCCAGAAAGTTAAATGGCCATGACGAGGACATCCCCGCCTCTATGAGAACTTTCTTCTGGGATTGATGGATTAGCGCAGTGCGTGGTAAAATGGTGCCGCTCCTCCTTTGGCTCTGAAACCTGCGTTTGCAGCCTGCAAAGATGAAGATGAGCAATTTTACATGGGTCCTGTCGGCAGCAAGGGGAGTTGGTTGGGAAAATCGAGTCACGGCATCAGGGTGTCCATAGCTCCCTTGGGTGCTGCAGGGTGTCCTGCAACACCTGGGTCCAGCTGGCAGTGCCATGCCCTGGTGCAGAGCATCGCTTCCGTGACAGCAGCATCCCGCAGCCCTGTGCCAGCCCCGGAGGCAGCGTATCTTCTGGCACAGCCCCAGCACGGTGCCGCAGCGGGGGGATGCTCCTGCAGTGCCCAGGACCAGGTTCCAGCTGGAGCTAAGAGGGGACCTGACAGGGGAACTCACCTTCAACTGAGCTATCTCAAATTCCGCTGTTTGAGGGTGAAGCTTGAGTTATCTGGTTACAGAGGGACTCATCTTCTCCAAACAACAGGCCTGCAGCTGCTCCGGGGTGTGTGGTGGTGCAGGCTGGGGGCTGTCCCCTCCCTGGGCTCTGTCACCAGCCCCGCGGGGAGGGATGAGCTCTCCGAACACAGCACAGATGCTGATTCACAGGGACATCTCCCAGCGCTGGGTGGCTTGGGGAAACATAACCTTTTGCAGCACGTTCCAGATCTCTGCTGAAAAACAGTTATTGATGCTTTTACCTCTGTGCAGAGCCGCACAAATAATGGACCGTGGCGCTGCAAGCTGGAACAGGTCAGGGAGCAGCACCTTGGCTCACCCCGAGCTGCGTGTCCTGCGCTGGGCATCTTGTCTGCTGGTTTGTGTGCGTGTCTGTGCATAGTCTTTAATGCCTCCTGGAGAAATGGTGGCAAAGCCAGGAGATCAGAGGCTGGACACGGATGATAAAGCTATTTCCCTCTCAAAAGGATGCATCTAAGCAGATGATTCAGCTCCCATCCAAAATCCACCAGTTCAAAGCCAGCTATTTTCAGGGACTGCTGGCGCGTGGCAGGAGGATGACATGTGCCGCCCTCCTGCTGCGCGGGTGCTACCTGCTCGCACAGCGGCTGCAGCACGCTAGGCTGGCAGCAGTCAGTGCCCCTGGCAAGCCCCGGCCCCTTCGCACCGTGAGATCCAGCCTATTGGAAGCACAAAACTCCGTAAATGTGGGGAGTGGGGTTTTGCTGCATTAAGTCACAGCTAAGCGGAGACTGTTTGGTCATCCCTGGATCCCTGGGTCATCCCTAGGTCCCGGTGTCACCATCCTAGTGACTTTCCCAGTGGGACCCCACTGAGTTACACAGTGGAGAGGGGAAAAGGGCAGCAATGGGAGCAGGTTCAGCCTGTTGGACACAATTGCTGCCCAGTGAGTGCTTTCCATCCCCCAGTGCCTAGCAAGCAGCGGGGTCTGAGCATCCCTGTCCCACTGCCACCACGGGGACTGGACCAAGAGGGTGCAGCCAAGCTCTGCCTTGCTCAGCCAGCTGGAGCCGGTGCTGAGCCCCCAGAATAACTGTGTTGGGGCTGGCAGCATGCTTAAGCGTGACTTAACTTCATTGGCATCCACAGATGCCACTTGCTTGGCTACCCAGAGCATTTCCACAGCAGCTCACATCCTCCCCACCCTGTCCATGGCACCTCCTGGAGCTCAGCGCTTTCCCTGGGGGTACCCCCATCCCATCCCACCACACACACTCCAGCCTTCGCGCTGCCTACGCCGGGGCTCTGCAGAGCAATGGTGAGCGACGAGGAGCCTCAGCTCGTCACTGCTTTGTGCCCGCGTGATTGCAGGAGGCTGCCTGGGGTGCATCTCGCCTGCCCACGGCCAGCGTCCCCCAGGACCGATTGCTCCTTGTGAAGTGGGTGGTGCTCAAAGTCCAAACACGAGCGCGGGGCTGCGGCTGAGTGTGTGACCCTGAGGGACTGGTGGAAACATGGGGGAGGCTGATGCCTGCAAGCAGGACTGCTGCGGCCATGTGCCAGTGAGCGAGCACACACGGTGCAAGAGAAAGCCTGGGAAAATCCCTCAGACAGGCGAACGAAGGTGGGCGGAAACATCTTCTGCGTTAACTGCACTGCTCAAATGGTGAGAAAACAGTGCAGCAGCAGCAGCAGGATGGCAGTGGATGGACAGTGCTCAGCACATCACCGTTTTGGGGGGATGCTCTGATTCTAACAGCGGTTAGGAGACAGATGGTCTGTCCAACTGTTGCTTGTCCCTGTGTCCCCCCTCCTTTAGGTTTTATTTGCTTTACTTCCAGTATTGAAAACTCTTGTGATTTTTCTCACATGTCCACCAGGATTCACCGCTTCCCCCGACATCCCAGGCCCTGCCATCAGGTGACCACACCAGGACAAAACTCCTTCCTTCCTTCTTTTGCTAACAAGCCCGCAGCCCTTGTGATCACTGAGCGACACCTGAAGCCGTGACCCCAGAGCATGGCTCAGAGTTGCCCTGAGACATGGCGAGCTGGCCCCGCTCCTGCAAGCCTCAGACCTCTGGCAAGGGGAAACCGGGGCAGGGAGGGGAAGGCACTTCCCCGGGGCTCAGTTCTGCGCTCTGGCTGCCGAATGCAGCAGTGGGGACGGTGCAGGAGCAGTGCAGTGCAGGGACAGTGCAGTGAAGTGACAGCACAGTGCAGTGCAGGGACAATGTAGGAGCAGTGCAGGGACAATGCAGGGCAATGCAGGAGCAGGGCAGGACAATGCAGTGCAGTGCAGGGACAGCGCAGGGCAATGCAGGAGCAGTGCAGGGACAATGCAGTGCAGGGACAGCGCAGGGCAGTGCCGGAGCAGTGCAGGGATAGCACAGGGCAATGCAGGAGCAATGCAGGACAATGCAGTGCAGTGCAGGGACAGCGCAGGGCAATGCAGGAGCAGTGCAGGGACAGCGCAGGGCAGTGCAGGAGCAGTGCAGGGACAATGCAGTGCAGGAGCAGCGCAGGGCAATGCAGTGCAATGCAGTGCAATGCAGCGCAGCACGCGCCCTCCCGCGGGCGGCGCGCGAGGCCCCAAGCAGCAGCCGCCCCAGGCCCGCGCACACGTGACGAGGTCACATGCCCCAAAGCTCCGCCCAGCCCCCCGGCCTCAGCACTCATCCAATGAGCGAACGGGAGGGCGGCGCCTCCAAGTGGTGATTGGTCGAGGCGGGCGTCAGGCCCGGGGGGGGGCG